TCGTTATAAACTTTCTTGAACTGCTCTTGATTCTCATTATCTTCGCCTTAGTCATGACTCTCCTTCAAACGATAGGCGTTTTCTTTGGCGACACTGATCGAAGGTTCTCGCAGGTCACCCAACAGTTCAAGCTCAGTTTGGATGGTTTATCACCTATTTGTGCTCCTTCAAGCCCCTACTAGAAGACCGGCAGTTATTTACCATTGAAGATATCATCAGCATTCCTCTAATGATGCACTTATTAATGGATTAAAGGAAAACTCGTCTCCGAAGTAATAACACTGTTACTAGTCGGGACTGAGTTCTTCAGATGGTGAAGAAGCTCGTATTATGCAAATGCCGAGCATGTGGGCACAATCCGATGAAGAACCCAGTAAGCAAAAGGGCCAAGTAATAATGAAGAACGAAGATTAACACCTGCCCAGTCTGGCGCGTGCTTCGACAGTTGCTGGTAATCTCGTTTCTTTTAAAGCCACAAAGGTCGTCAGTTTTTTAGATGTGAACCGGTCCGAAGCTCGAAAAACGCCGATTGCGTAAGGGCGCGTGTGTTGAAGCCTGATTGTGATTGAGCCATTTTTCCTTCCTCGCAACGAACTGGTTTGAAATTTCCCTGTTAAATTTCTTATCAGCAAGCAAACAGAAAAATACAGCAGACACGATCGTCGTGAGGCCCCCCAATTTTTCGATCGCACTTTATCTCGAAAGCCACAAACGGGGTCCAGATCGAAACCGTTGCACACGCCAAAGCAGGTGTTTGGAGGCAGGTGAACACCACCATATGCCCACCATCTATCTGACAGACACTCTTCATTTAAACCGACTACCAGCGGGTTTTATTTACGTCATTCTAGTTCTTTTTCATCTGGTGATGTTGATTCAATTTGGTTATTGACTCCGGCTGGGAGACGGAGGGAGACCATGCAGCTGCCGAAAATTATGGGGAAATGGGAGAGTTCAACTCAACTCAACTGCTGTTTGCATCGCAAGCATCTAATCTGGAGCGTTACAAGTAAGAAAACATGCATTTTCCACTGGCAAAAGCCCGGCCTGGTTCGTGGCAAATAATTGGGCCCGGTTCGAGTAAACACGGCATTTATTGAGAACAAACTGAGATGTCCGTTTAATTGGACGCGGCACGTGTAACCGTATCGATTAGTAGCAATTTGTTTAAAAATATAATCGTCCAGCCCATGGTCAGATCGGAACAGGGACGTGCAATGACCAAGGATCCCATCGATGTTTACAGATAACTACCATCTTAAATTAGCAACGAAACCCACAAACAAAAGAACCATGTCGCCTTAATGGAACCTCCAAGTTTGTTATGGTTACTTGGAACTAATTTGCAAACCCAATGAGGTTCGATGCTTTCGATCAATCACAATGCAAGGAATTATCTCGTTGGTACCTCCGGTAAATGGGTCTGCTCTAGGTGGGTGTTTTGCGTCACTCTGCGATATGACATACACATCATCGGCATATTTCCTCTCTGATTGGGCAACGTGCAGGCTATTTACCAGCGCATCACTTTACCGCGAACCCAATCGATCAGCAACAATTTTCTCAAAACATTCGTTCGATTTATCCGAGCTTGTCGTTTCGTGTATCGTCTAATTACGAGGAAATGCGATTTTTTTAGGTCAATTAATCGTACCGCTGTCGCATTTTACCGACATCGATTGGGCAATTGCCAATCGCAAGTTTTCGTATTTGGCTAATTTTCAATCGCTTGATTTGCTAATCTTGGGTTTCGTTTTAACTCCATGGCCTGGTTTAAAGGAAACTTATTTTCGATCTTACCCGAAAATCTCTCTAGGCTCCAGACTGCTGGAAGTGCTCTATTTGGGCGCAAAAGACTCTACTGTGAAATAGCAAGTCCTGCTCTATCATCTGCACTCTCTATCTACTTTCCAACTGCTCTCATTTAGTATGATATTCTTATCTTTCTTGGGTTTAACTTTGAACATCGTTGATTTCATTACGTTTCGGCCGGACTACAGCGCCATCATCAGATTTAAAATTTACACAAACTCATGATTGGTAAAAATCAACGTTCTTGTAGGTCTTTGCCTTCTTGAAACCTTAAATTTGTCTCTCGAAAGACAAATTTACGGTTTCAAGAAGGCAAAGACCTACAAGAACGTTGATTTTTACCAATCATGAGTTTGTGTAAATTTTAAATCTGATGATGGCGCTGTAGTCTCGCCGAAACGTGATGAAATAAACGTCTACAATCAAGGCACAGGCAAGCAAAACCTCAAACTATAATGTGGTGCTTGTGAAATGTGTGTAGGGATGTTTTAATACTGAAAGTTCCACTATTGACCCTTTCAGATCCTCTCTGATTCAGTTTCAGTTTCAGCTACTTTCACAGACTTTCACTCTCATTGTCTTAACTGAACTGTGTTGTTCCAGATTATAAAGCAGCCATGCAAGGGGTGGTTTTTGCTCCGGAAAATCCTCAACAAGGCTCGCCACCACCCAGCAACGTTCCAGGTAAGTCCCAACTGCTCGTAATTGTTTGTGGGCGCCAACAGCAGAATATTGACCTTTACCGTCATATCTCAGTGATTTCTGGTACTGGCGAGGCGAAAACACATCGGCAGATAAGGAACAATCCCAAACAACATCATCAGCCTTATCTGGAAGGAAACTGAAACCTGTATGCGGTTTGTCGAGCGTGACGAATCTCATTGTGGTCCATTTTAATCAGGCCTGGGTTTTCCGTTTCGGAAAAACAAACGTCCACAGTCTCATGGGCGCGTCAATGGTTTTTTTCGTGGGTTTTAAGCGCCGCGCCTTAAAACTCTCATCTAGAATGTGATCTTTGCAACGGCGACCCTCTAGGCTGTTGGAAAGCGTTGCATTTTCCATCTGCATCCAGTTGATACCTGCCGGCACGTAGGCGATTTTCCAATAAAAAAATGATTGCCCAAGACCTCTAAAAACAATGAAGCGACGATTTGGGTCAAGTAAATGATCGTCTGTTTACCAATACGGCGACAAAGAAACGTTTCATTTGCCGATGACGGTTTCAAGTCAGGTACATGCCAACCGGATGGTACAGAGTGTCCGAATAGGGATAACTGGACATTGATCATTGACCGCAGGGTGTGTCCCAATTCCTCCTCAATGTAGCAAAAAACCCTTAATTTTCCTCAGATCATGTGAATAAATAATGCTAAACATCCGATTGACGCACAAATCGACGAACTGGACTAAAGTTGAACAAGCTTTGCTCAGCCAGGTGATACGGGGAATAAATCTGGGATTGTCTTTAAGTAAACCAATCGAACGATAAAGCCGGAAGACAAGAGATCTCCGTTCCGATGATTAACTAAACAAATGCACGCGGTTTCTTTGTCCGCGTCAACAACTCGCACGTTTCTTCACTTTATCGGTTATTTTGAAACACAATTGGGCCGCACCAAATCAGAGCTACACGACAATTCCTATGTGTGTGTGTGCCACACCCGTCTACAGTCAAGTGGTGTCTTACACCTGCCACACTTCGTTTGCTCAGTTCAGTTAACAAATCCGCATTTCTCTGCACTTGTGTGAGTGAAACTTTCGCCGGTTCTTCTTCATTTGCCCCGGTATTCATCGGATTTAAGGGACGCCCAGTTGGTTCCCATGGCGACCGTGCATCAACGTCGTCACTCGCCATGTGAACGTACCTCAGTTGAAGTGTCATGACTATTACAAGGGTCGCAAGATTAGTTGACGGGTGACTGAGCATATTTCATCAAAATCGACGCAAGCGTCCGTCACTAACAGAAGAACGATTTATATCGATATCGACTTCAGGTGATTTTGGTGAAGACTCGCTGGAAACAATTCAGTAAATTTTCATATTCGCAACAAGTCAAATTCATTACTGGGCTTCAGTCATTTATTAGGTATCAAAATAGGTTTCGGTGTATTTTTCCACCATCATCAGTTTTTATGTGTAGCGTTGTTGCTGCTTTAAGCCTTGGCAGGCATTTGGAGTTGCACACTCCAAAGGCATATGTTTTTTTATATATTTTAAATACTTTGCAAGAAACAAACAAAACAACCCTGTATACAATTCGCAACAAAGTCAGAAAGAGGTTTCAAACCGATCAAATTCCCGATTCAATAAATCACATAAATACGAGTATTTAGTCCTCCTGTGCGACCGGCCATCAACTATCGTTTGTTCTAGTTACCGCAATGGAGGAACCACTCGAAGCCAACCGAACCAAAGAAGCGCTAGACGACCAAAGCAACCGCACCGATTCGGGAATCTTCTCGACCACAACCAACACGTCCATAGAGGCGTGTGAGAGCGACAATCGCAGCGACAATCGCAGCGACTGCAGCTCGCCCGAACGGAAATACGTGTGTCCCATCTGCGACAAGATGCTGACGTCGCAGCACAACTTCACGCTGCACATCCGCTCGCACAACAATCAGGGGGAGGATCAGGCCAGCGAAAAGGGCTTCGCCTGCCGCATCTGCCGCAAGGTGCTGAGCTCCAGCTCGAGCCTGGACCGCCACGTGCTGGTCCATAGTGGAGAGCGGCCTTTCCATTGCAAATTCTGCGGCGACACGTTCACCACCAATGGAAACATGCATCGGCACATGCGCACCCATTCGACCAAAGGGGAGAACTACGAGTCGGATGGGAGCAGCGACAGCGGCAGCTCGAGAAGCATCGAGTACAACAACAACAAGGTCGAGTCGAAGCCCTGCCAGAAGAGGCGACTGGAGGACGCAGATATGGACCAGAAACTGGACGCCAAACGACCGGCCTTGGGCCCGTTTAGGTGTCCAGTCTGTCAAAGAACCGATTTTAACTCGCCGGGGGTTCTAGAAGCCCACTTGGAGGACAACCATCCAGAGTACCCAGCAATCGGCAGCCAGAGAGCGGCCAACAACAAACAAACTCACCCCCTTACCAAAGAAAAGGCGCCCTCCAAGCAGCCGGTGCTCGGGTTCCAAGACCTCACCTTCGTGGACTTCTCCAGCGAGAAGTTCCCCCACATTGCCAGGCGGGAGTGCGAGCGCAGCCTGCACAAACCTGCATCGTGTGGGCCGAAGTTCCAATGCCAGAAGTGCCTCAAAGCCTTCCCCTGTTCCAGCTCGCTGGCCATTCACGAGAAGAGTTGCCTCGAAGCGTCCCCCGGTCTGAATTTGAGCGGCCGCAACGGGATCTGTGAGGACGATATCCGCCGAACTGAGTTCTTCTCCCGGCTGAACCTCCAGGACAACGACAAAATCCCCGAGAAGCTGATTCCTACCAATAAGCTGAGGGAGCAGCTGGTCAAGTTCATGGACAACAAGGACTTGGCTGATATCCCATCGATTCTGTCCAATATTCAAAAGCCCAGCGAGCTGCGACTGCCGCCAACCAAACATCTCGTCGACCAGGACAACAAGCAGGAGAACGAGGAGGAATCGCAGGATTCGTTCGCCATAGAGTTCCGCAAAATGAAGCTGCGTGGGGAGTTCCCGTGCCGACTGTGCACGGCGATTTTCCCCAATTTGCGCGCCCTCAAAGGCCACAACCGCGCCCATCTGAGTGGCAACACCAACGGAACGTACTACTGCAACATGTGCCCTCACTCCTCAATCGACAAGGCCGCCCTGATCCGGCACATGCGGACGCATAACGGGGATCGTCCCTATGAGTGCTCGCTTTGCAACTACGCGTTCACCACCAAAGCGAATTGTGAGCGCCATTTGAGGAATCGACACTCCAAAACAACCAGGGAGGATGTCAAGAAGTCCATCATCTACCACCCGTCAGAGGATCCCACCAATGACGAGCTGAACAAGCTGACCGTTAGGGAGGAGGACAGGAAGCACAGCTTCAACTCGTCCAGCGACTTTGATGGCGCCTCAATCTCCAAACATACGCGCAGTAAGTACATTAAATGAGACACCAAATGATCGAAAGGGCACTGAGACGTGTGGTCTAACTTTAATTGAAAAAAATGTCCGTCTCTTCGGCCTAATAATGGTTAAAGGTGGGCCTGGAGAGCGCGCTGAATTTTTAGGAGTTGGCGCAGTGCTATGCCAATGGCTTCGTGCGCCAACCCAACGCACCGGCGCAGTAACTCCGTTGTTCCAAAATCTAAAAAGAATTTTTTTGAAAAAATTTCTGATTTGAAAACACAAATAATATCGCAGTCCCCTTTTGATCATGCGCTTAAGGGACACCCTGCATAACGCTTGAAACGCACTGATTCTACAGAGTGGCCCAATACAGGGTGATTCAAAATTGGCGGGTTGGGGAGTACAAGAAAAATATTGAAATTTTTTTTTTTTTTAATATTTCGAGAAGATATTAATAGTTGAAGGTCGAATTTCAACTGTGTTTTTAAGCATTATTTTGAAATTGTTCCATGTTTAATTGGCGGCATATTCGAATACTTAAGCATTCAAAAAGAAAAATTACGATCTTTGCTTCAAGTTACGAAAATTTGCGATATTAGAAAAGTTCTGTTCTAAAATTTTTTGATGGAAAGGCTTGTTAATAATAACCATAATGTGTCATACTGTGACTTACTTTGAATTTTCTTTCACGAATTTGCGGATCTGCGATTAGTTCAGGGGAAATTCTACAGTAACATGGCGGAAGCTGAAAGAACTCACGCCAACGAAGGGCAAGGAAAGTAGTTCCAGGAAGATAGTGGACGACAATCGATCTTCGGGTTCCAAGCACAGAGGAACAAGTATTGGATATAATCGAATCAGGGCCTTCCAGGGGCACTCAGAGCCCAATAACTGACACTTTCCCAAGCACCAAATAAATACCGAGGAAGGGCTACATTCCTACCACGTTTGTACGATACACACAGCACAAGGAGATACGAATGGA